TAATTCTCAGTATCATCTAAAATTAGGCTCTAAGCAAATAATTTCAGTGCCTCTCCAACATCCCTTATCATACACTGTAGCACTTTGTAAGAAAGTTGTAAATAAATCAATTTCTCATCAGTCTTTGTTTCTCAGTAAAATAATCTGTCACTTCTATTTCTGCAAGACCAATAGATATATTATTACAGCAGTTAGTGCTGGATTTAAATATAAACTGCTTCATGTTCTTTTATCCAATAATTTAACAGAGTACTCTATAAGTTCATGCATAATATTAAAAAATTAGAATCTTAAGGTATTTTTAGTCTTAACCTAAGAGCAAAACAGAGTACACTGTCTGACAAACTGACAAATTCACTCCTTACTCCAGCATCTGATCCAAAGTGCCAGCCAGGGAAAGCCTGGCTAAGGAACTGCATGATCCAAGCCCAGTGAAAACAGATTCTCAGAGGGAAAGATACGTATTTCAACAGTGCACTCAAGCTTCATTTGGGAACATCTATGTGAGGTTGCAACAACAATTAAAGCAAAATTAGGTTTAGGCAAGCATTATGCATTCACAATGACCTACACTGCCTTGAGATGAGACAGTGTTTATTAAGAAGGAACACTGAGAGTTCCTATGGATTGAAGAGTGGTAATCACCAAAAAAAGTAAAGAAAAGACTAGTCAAAAAAGAGGCTTCTAAATGGCACATATATATAACCATTGTTTGTTTAGAACCTAAAAGCAAGCTTTGGTGATATACATTCACAAACTCATCATGCATAAGTGAAATGATTCACCGTTTGATCAAATGTTTAATTTTAGCAAACAAAATTGAGGAAAGAGCCAGATTGGCATGACAAGGATCTGATGATACATAAGTGACTGGAAAATCCAGACTCAGAAATAAACTCTGAATTGGGCCTGCACAGAATGCTTGGGGCACAGTGTCTCATCACACATATGATGCATGCAGTGTCAGAAAAAGGCAGACCAAATGGCAACATCCTGCAAAAGCCCTGCTGGCATGTTCTCAAATAATATTGCTATCAGTTTTAGCTGACTACAGAACCTTATAGTTGCCAGAACTAAGATGAGATGAAACTAATCATACTGTGTTTTCAATCAACTTCCTGCTGGCTGCCACCATTTCAAGAATGGAATTCATTTGTTTCATGTCTATTAACATATTTCCTTCTTTTCTGGTTCTAAGGCACTAAATGCAGCGGTACGGTATCAGTCTGGACAATAAAAATGATAAGCAGCAGTCAGAACAGTACAAACAGAACTGTAAAAGTATTACCCCCTCTGACATACTCCTTTCACAGTACAGGCTACCACCAGCTTACAAGTCCCTTCTATGCATACACACATTTAACAGTAGAATCCCAGCCCTCTGATGGTTTCACTCACTAGTGAAACCCTCATGGAGATCTTTAAAAGTCAAAGGGAAATTGCCAACATGTAGGTCATTAAAGAATCAGCCTCATCTCTAATAAGCAAAAATGCTTAACTGGAATATAATACATCCAGTAACATTTTCATGTATTTATGAAATCTTCAACCTTGACCTCATATACATCATAAGGGAAAGGCTTCTGAAATCCAGCAGTCTAAGAAAACATAAACATTACACAATTCTATAATTCTCTGGTCTGTTAACCAGGAAAATAAGAAAGTATTTTTCCAGGTCATAAGAATCAGAAGTTAAATACAGCATATTTTAGATTAAGAAATCTAAGATAACTTGCATACTGAACCTTTTCCAATCTTTGTGTACTAAGACTATTCCAATAAATAGTGAGATAGTTCCTAATGGCTGAACTTGAAGATACAAAAATAGGGGGAAAGGGGAGCAAAATATTTCCTAACAGTAAATTGTATGAATTTTTCATAAATAACATGAATACTGATGAGGTTTCTCAGCTGAAATTATCTGGGTAAGTGAAATGACTCTGTAAAATATCAAGATCATCTCAGTGCTCCATTTAAACTTAACTCAAGCAGAAATTACTGACTGGAGAGTCTAAAAAGAAGGGCGAGTCTGCAGATTTAAGGATGAATTCTGTGATCTTCAACAAAAGGCAAGCAAACGTTAGTTGTTGACCTTAAGCAGATATTTCAGAAGTTCTTAACAGCTTCACTCAAAAGTATCTTCTTTCAGCTGTTCATTTTCCAGTCTCTCAGATCTTGAAACATCAAGAGTTTAGTAGTTTTCCAGTCTCTAGAGATTCTTGAAACCTAGAGGATCTGAATTTCTAATATAAACCCAAGTCTTCTAAAAGAAGAACCCCTCCAACTTCAATGCAATAGCACACACTGGTCTGCTCCTGTAATCTCTCTGCATGCCATCACTATCAACTCGTGTCTCTGGGGCTGCTCCTATCCCTGTCCAACCAATGGGCAAGCTTCAGCACAGGAACCCACAGCTTAGCTCAATTTTAATAATTCTTTGTCTTTTCCTCAATATCTTCTGTCTTTGTGGCTTACTGCAGAAAACATGCAGCTTATTACAAGAGTCCTATATATTGCATTACATAAAAGTAATTTTAAAAAACAAAGGCATCATCTTTTATACCTGGTAAAATGTAGACCTTATTGGTTGACCCCCAGACATAAAATTGCTCTGCTGCTTTCCTGGCTTGGGCTGACTCAAGAAGAACTGTGAAAGGGCGCTCAACCACTGCACTGACAGGGACCCAAAAACATAAAGCAATACCTCTACACTACCTTATTTACAAATTCAATAGAAACTACTACATCAAATTACAAGTTTCATAACTTTTCATAGCTTTAAATGTACTGGCCCTGTTGTTCCAAAACATGACTTGACAGACATTAAAATGACAGGTAAGATGCTGTCTTAAAACATGTCATAACCCTAGGTAGAGTAAGGGTTGCTCTAGGAACCCTAGCTGAAATCTAGAGCAGCAGAATTTCAACTTCACACAAATATAAATCTTTGTGCTATCATGACTTACTTTCTTCAGAACGCTGGCACAAAACTGTAACCCCTTAAGAACTCCTGACAATGCAACTTCAATAGAAAGGCACATCTGCACTGATTTACCACACAATCCATTCTAGCACTAGCAAGGCCTAGGTAAATAAGGTCATGCAGTCATTTACGCTTTACCAGGACTGAAAAGTATAGCAATCAACTCTGAAAACTGACAGGACCATTTTTTAAAGTGGAAAAATAGATACTTATTTTGTCACTGTGTATTGAAATGCACCTGGCAGACACTTAAAGAGACTGAAAAATGGGCTAATTCATTCACTGTATTAGTGGAAAAAGTGAGGGTTTTGTTCCACACTGCTGTCTTTCAAAATTATCATACAAAAACACCCCTGCATGGGTGGCACTCTGAAGGGGAAAAAAACTGAAGGGCAGAAAAAAAATACCAGTTGATATCTGCTTGTGCAAGGGAAGCATGTTTTAAAAAATCAGCTTTAAAGGCAATGGGTTTTCTTGAGAGCCTCCTGTAACCATTAAGCAGATCCTTGAACACAAAGCACCAGATTTTCTTCTCATTATCAAAACATGCTGAACTAGCCAAGAAGTCGAGCCCAAAGAAAAAGTTCACTTTCAACTTTCTACGATTCTCCCATAAGTATCATGTTACAGAAGTCAGTGCACTGCATTAGAGATAGCAAAAACTTGTTCTCCACTACTTTACAAAAAATATCAGACCCAAATATGGGAGCCTAGCAAAACAAAAATTAACAAAATGATTTACTATGTATTTATAATCTGTCTTGTAAGATCACTCCCAACAGGGCCATGGCATTTGTTGCAATTCAGGCTTCTGTCAATACTAAAAAATGGAATTTCGTTTAAAATCCTGCCACTTCAATGAACCAACCAAACCTACAGTGACATCACTAAATCACTCTTATTGCATCTTTTTTCTCTCAGCCTCCACTTCCCCAGAGTACCTTAAATTGCATGACATAAATCCCAAGAAGGTACAATCACAGACAAGTGTAAATCTCAGGTGGGCCCTCAAAAGTCTATTTAGTCACATACCCTATGAATTTTCCATAAATAAGAACATTAGGGACTAATGTTGCTGTGATAGACACTAAAGACATTTTACGACGATGTGTATCTGCTAGAATACCATCTCCCATGGTACAAGTGATTTTTAAAAAAAAAAAATCAGTAACGGAAATATCTTCAACAGACACAACCCTAGAGGTGGTAGTTTAGAAAGGAACAGATTTACCTTTTTTTTTCCACCTTTGGCAAACAGGAATGACCCCTACTTCCTTCTTCCTAAAAGGGTATCAGCAACCAGCTAACAAGGGCCTTATCTATTATGAACCATTTCGCTTTCATAAGGTGGAGAACGAAGTGTGTTTTTGTCCTTAGCCTTTTTCCCTCATTAGTTATGCTGCCCTGCGTGAATCGCAGCGGCAGCTCCCGGTTGCCGGGCACAGGGCAGGGATGTGTCAGGGACGCCCGTCAGGGCACCCAGGGGCCCGCATTACTCAGCTGCGCCTTGGAGGAGCTGAAGGCAGGCCCCGGAGCGCAGCCCGCAGCCCCAGAGGAGGGGCGGCCTCTCCAGGAAACCTGCGTGCCCGGGGAGGCGGTCAGGCCTCCCCCGCCGGGCTGCCGGGAAGGCCGCGCTGTCCGGGCGGCGGGGGGGCCGCGGGCGGCTCCGGCACCCCCTCCCCCTCCGCGCCCGGGGGCAGCGCAGCCGCCTCCCCCCGGGCACCCGCTGCCTCTTCGACACCGCGGTCCGGGCCCCCCGGGACCCGGCACCCACAGGCACGGAGACATCCCTCTTCCGAAGGGGGGGAACCCCCGCGGCCCGCCCGGCAGGGGCCCGGGGCCGCCCCCTCCCCGCGGCGAGCTGCGGGCTCGGGCCCCGCGACCGCCGGTGCCGGGGGTTACGACCCGGCCCGTTCCCTCCCCGCCCGGCCGCGGCCCCCCGCCGCCTCGCCCTTCGCCTGGCCGCCCGTCCCCCTCCGTCCCTCCCCGCCCCACCCCAGCCCCGGGCCCGGCTCACCCCCAGAAGCCGCAGGGGCAGCGCGGGGGCAGGCTGGGCGCCTTGCTGCGCTCGCTGCCGGCGTCTCCCATGGTGGGGCCGGGGCGCGGGGCGGCGGCGGGCGGGGGGCGCGCGGCTCCCGGCCGGGATTCCAGGCCGGTCAGCTGGAGCCGGGCGGCACCACTGGGGAGGCGGCGGAGGGGGAGGCCGCGGGGGGGCCCGGCCGCACCCTGCCGATGGGGCGGGCAGGGGAGCGGAGACGCGACGGCACAGGGACGCGGAGCTCCGTGGGACGGCACCGCCCCCCCAACCGGGCCGGTGACCGCCCCGGTGCCACAGCGGCGCGCGCCCGCCCTCCCCGGAGCGCCGCTCGGCCCTTCGCGCAACAATGCGTGCCCCCCCTCCGACACCGTGGCTCCCCCCGTCCTAAGCGCGATGGTTTCGTCAAGCCACCGAATCAGCTGGGAGCGGCATGTACCACAGCACATCCTCGGGGGAAGTTGGGGCGGATCGCGTGCGGGAACTGGGTGAGGAGCGAGTTTGGAGGGCACCCATAGGCTCGAGAACAGAACAGGATTCTCACTGACGAGTCCTAGGCGGGACTGAGGCCCACAGAACCGCCTGGAGCCGCTGCCCTCTTTTGCCTCTACCCATACATTGGGCACACAGTGGTACAGCCAGGGACGGCCGGCGGGGTGGGGGCGCTGGTGCCGCTGGCACATGCGCAGACGGGCCCCTGACGCGGAAGTCTGTCCGTGGGAGCGGGTCCCGGGGGGCCGGGCCGGGCCTGTCCCGGGCTGCCGCTCCCGCAGTGCCGGGACCTGCCTCGCCGAGGGACGCTGTTCAATATCTTTCCCTTGTCCTGGTCGCTGCCAGCGCAGTGTGCCGGGGCCGGGCCGGCTGTGCGCGCTCGGGCGCTCTCCCCGGAGGCCGGGCGGCTCTGGGGGGCTCCGGTGCGGTGCGGGGTGAGGACAGGGACTTGTTCTCTTGGGGCTCCGCTTGGAGAGAGGTCTGGAGGTCCCGAGGGCGACGCTTGGTCTTCTGTTTGCCTTGTTATCCTGTAGCTGTTCGTCCTCGCTTCCCTCAGTCCCATCTAAAGCCGTGTAGGTGTTTGACGTACTCGGGGCTCTCCTCGCCTGTGGTGAGCACCACAGGACGCGGAGCTGTGGGCTGTCTGCAGCCGGGAGAAGGCAGGCCCGCCGGCCCCGTGCTCTGGGACCTGCAAGAGGTAAGGGATGCAGCGAGGGAAGAGCTCAGCTGGCACGGGCATTACTGGCTGCCGCCCTTTGACCGACAGGAAAGGAGACGGGAATTTCCAGCACCTGGACTTGAGAGCTGAGTGATGGGGATTGTATTTCTGGTACTGGTTTAGCCAATAGTATTGAGCCTTGCACTCTCTGTACCTTGATTTTGTCTGTGAAATGGAAATAGTGCTGACCACCCCCACCCCTCCCTGCCAGAAATTTCAGATCTGAGTGGGAAATGTGTGGAAAAATACCGGTGTGGCATTAATGGAGGGGGAATTTTGATCTATTCCTGACTGCCGTTGCCTATCTTATACTTTGATTTTTTGCTTTGCACTTACAACCAAGGCTATTAAAATTTGAAAATAATAAACATTTTTAACAAAGTTCAGAGTATGTGAATCTTTGTGAACAGCTAATTAATTCTGACAAAGATGTTATGGCTTTGGTATTAAGCTTCCTAAAGCATCTTCTATGAAATTAATTCATGACAGAAAAAAGCAATAATGAATTACATATACACACATGCTTAAAACTTTTTAATAAAAAAGTTGGAATTTAATTGAAATCATGTAAACATGACTTCTTGTGAAAAGGCTGGTTCATGACAGTTTACTAATGGTGGTGATTTTTTCAAACCCTTCTAGTCTGGGGTTGCCTGACTCCCAGCTGATGCAACTCTGCCTTCTCCAAAGTGTCTGTGGCTGCAAACCACCCTGTGCACTGACCAGCAGCAGGCAAAGCTCTCTGAGGACAAAGCTGAGCTGCTGAGGGTACCAAGAGAAGGGAGTACGTGCAAAAATGCAGCCTTGGCCTTGTTAACTCAGCCCTTTAAGCCACTAAGTCAGCTGGAAACTGAAATGGTCTCTTTTGTGCTGGTTACCTGCACTACTGCCACAGGCTGTAAACTCCCCTCAGATAAGGAGTGGCTTCTGAAAGATGATCTAATAGGCTTTATGTCTATAATTGCTATTAAGGTAAGCTCATACTGAGTTAGCTTTCAACTATTACAAATGTTGTGCAGAAGCAGTCTCTCTGCTCAGTACTTCTTGTCACCTCAAATAAACTTTGGCTTTCATCACCTGGAGAGAGCCTAGAAGAAAGATGGAGTCTGTTTACATGGGCATGTTGGGACAAGGACAAGAGGGAATGGCTTCTAACTGATAGTAGATTTAGATTAGATAGTAGGAAAAGAATATTTAACTGTGAGAGTGGTGTGGCAGTGGAACAGGTTGCCTAGAGAAACTGTGGATGCTGCATCCCTGAGAGTGTTTGAGGCCAGCTTGGATGGGGCTCTGAGCAGCTTGGTCTAGTGGAATGTGTCCCTGCCTGTGGCAGGGAGGTTGGAATTAGATGATCTCTCTATAAGTCTCTTCCAACACAGGCCATTCTATAATTTTGTAAAGTGATATTGGGATTATGTCAGAATTCCAGTTTTCCCAGCAGTTCAGATTTTTTAAAACCTTGAAAGGGTGTGGTACTTCACTCCAAAGTTAAACAGAAGCATGAATTAAGGACAATGCTGTTACATAAAGCAAACACTCACTAAGCATGCTGCCAGTGAAGATACACCAACTAACCGGCTGCTACTAATGCCCTAAGGAAGAGTAATCTCAGGGACACACACATGATAGCCTTCAGGATGACAGTGCAGCTGAATACTATGGGATCCAGGAGAGGGGAGCATGTGCTTTGATTTCATGTCATGTTTGTAATAATGTGTTTGGCCTTTTTTATTTTTAAGTATGACCTTTGCAACCCTGTTTTTATATATTTGTGATCTTTTCCACTTTGTCTAGACAACAGAAAATTACCAATGTATCAGTTCAGCATTGTCTCCTGAAAATTCAGTATGTTAATCCGTACCTGTTTTTCTAGACCCTTTAATGTTTTGATTTGTATCATGTGTCTGCTAATCACATCCATCCATTTACAACCACCAGAAAGTGTTCTTGTGTTGAAATGTGGCAGCAAGGGAAAGTACAGCTGAGCGATGCTTCTTCAGTGGCTGGCAAGGAGAAAACTGGTTCAGCTGATCTAAAATTAGTGCTGTCATGAACAGGGCATTGCAACCTCCATTCAGATCCCACCTCCAACAGATCTCCTCCTGAGACAGGCCTCTGGCCCCTGAGGAGTTTCAGTGCTGACATTTTCTGTGGCTTTTTTGATCCAGAGTCCAGGCCCTGGATTCTTTCTCAATAATGAACAAGCATCCACAGACAAATGGATGAACAGCACTTAGGAGATACACAGAGGGATTGGTAGCCTATTAGTTGGTTCCAGGGCTGGGAATATTCATATGCAGAAAGTTATCAAATGATCCAGATTCAGCCTTTGGAAGCAAATATGCATTGTTAACATGCATTAGGTGGGGGAAAAACCTCCTGAGTGATGGGAAGGTAATTCGGAGAAGAGTGGTGCCTGGAATAGTGAGCAACAGTTTAAGTACATAACAAGAGAAACAGCTCATGCAATTTTACTGCTGTGTATCTGAATGCATGAAAGACATGGGGAAGGTGCTAATCCTTTTTAATGAGTGACCCTGCAGCTATTCTCCAGGCATATTTTTGCAGACAATTCAGAGAATACAGAGAAAAGTAGCCAAAATACAGGCTGCAGATGCTGAAATACTTGAAAAATCTAATGTTTACTGTCTGGCCACTTGGGGAGAGATTATAATCATATATTCTTACTTAAAATTGTCCCCAAAAATAGAAGGTATTTGCTAGCAGGACACACAGAATTTAGTAAAAAATAGAAACATTTCTCTAAGGAGATAAATACCTAGGACATGTGCAGAAAGTGTTCTCATGGTAAAGTCTGATTTTAACCTCTCTCTGAGGTTCATTTCTAGCTCATTCTCAGCAGGACCCCTTTGCAGGATTAGATGAGGTAATAGACCTCACAGAATCAGGAGGCACAATTCCACCAAATTTAGAAGCATCAATTAAATACCATTGTTTCTCAAGAGCTCCCTTTTTTTTCTCACTATGCTACAAAAGATTGTACCTCTATATAATCAGAACATTTGGGGGTGGTTTATTTTAGTATAAACATGATTGCCTAACTGAAATACATGTGCACAACCATAAAGTGGAGCAGGTGGAGAATGTCACAAGTATTGTACATCTTCCTTCTCATCTTGAGATCTAAATTACCATGAAATGATAAAAGTGACTCGTGATGCCAGTCTGTTTGAGAGACTCTTGAACTGATTGAAATAATCACCACTTTTTAATTCCTCTTCAGTTGGCAGATAGTCTTAGAAGTCTTTTCTTTCGGAAGATCTTTCTTGTTAAAACCTGTACTGAGGCTGCGAAATAAAATGAGCATGTGGGAAAGGGCAGTGGAGAGGACATGTCTGAGCTCTAGCCATAGCAAACAATAAAAGTGAACAATTATGATGATTCACTAGAGCCCAGGGCACAGACTGCAGCCCATGAAGGCATTAACCTGCAGCAAGTCAGCAACATAGATCTGATCCCAGAAGATGTGACTGATCTGTGCCAAAGGCTGCCTGAATGGGGGCTGAGGCTGCCAGGCTTGCAAGTGCCTGCTCTTTGCTGCATAGCTCACCTCATTTTCTGCATTTGAAACGCATACCTTGGGTTTTGTATGCACCTGGCCTGGCAGGTTGTGATCCAGCTGAATGCCTCAGCCTTTGCTTACTCATTTGGTTTAAGGTAGGTGTCAGTGCAAGCTGTCTGAAGAGAGAGGTGCCCACACCTTAGCCTCTGGCTTGGCCTCAATGAATCCAACTCAGTTTTCTTTGCTGCTCCAAGGAAGTCTCCAGATTAAAGAAAGCAAACTGAGCTCATCTTGGCTCTCAACATTGCTTGTGTTGACAAAGCAAAAAAAAAAAATCAAAATATCAGCCATGATCTATGAATTTGTGAGTCATGCAGATTAGGAGGTTTTGTAGCTGTGTCTTTTTAAAACATAAAACATAAGCTTGAAAACTAAAGGACAATATTAAATAGTTGCAACACAGAATTTGGAGTTGGGACTTAGACGTTCTTCTGATTACTTTAAGTCTCTCTGTGCCTCAGTTTCGTTTTCTCAAATAGAAACAATCTCATGGGCACTCTGGAAAAGGAATCTTTATTGGATGGTTGTATTAGAAATGCAAAACTGCTGCTGTTGCTATTACTGTGACTAAGAGAGTGATATTTCTTTGCAATTAATGGCTGGATGGAAGGTCCAAGGTTAAAGAGAAAATTCTTAACCAGTCACAATTTACATTATTATGACTAACCCAGAGGCAATTAATAATACTTCTATTTTTTCAGACATGTATTTCTTCCATTTCCTGCCCCTTATGTAATCTAGGGCACTTGGAAAAAAGCACAGATAGAAAAATTGGAGTGCAATTAAACAAACATTCTAGGCTAGTCTAAAAATGCCAGATAATGTATTTCAAATAAAAAATCAGAATATTAGACACAATTTAGTAGAAGGAGTGAGGATGCCTAGAAAACAAAATTGAGTAGTGACCTCACACAGTGTGGTGACAGCAACTAATACTGAAATCACTCACACAAAAATAAATCTGCAGATGTTAAAAGATGTGTAGATGTGGTACTTTGGGACATGGCTTAGCAGCAAGGCTGGGTTGAGTGTTGAACACAATGATTTTAAAGGTCTTTTCCAACCTCAGTGATGCAATGGTTCTATGTTCTATATAAGTGAGACTTCCATTATTTTTAGAAATCAGGAGACTTATGAATCTGTAATGATGCTGAATTTGTGCTAGGCATTTCCTGGTGCTGGACAGCAGACTCAGCAAAGACCAATCTTAGCCTTTGAATGTTCTTTTTAGCAAATCTCCAGTACTTCTTAAAAGAAAAAAAAAAAAGTAAGCATTGTGACAGCAATTTTACCAGGAGGAAGGCAACTTTGGAAAGTGAAACAAGCTGCCTCGGGTCACACAAGAAGGCACCTGCAGATCTAGTAATAGCATTCGCATTGCTCAACTCCCAATATAGCAACCGATGCAGAGTCTCTCTTGCAGAACTCATGCCTTGGGTGCTCCTATAAACACCTCCCAGCACCTGCTTCCTCTGCCACAGTGCCCAGGTTTGCTTAACAGCAGTATCTCAAATCATTGCTGCAGCTGCTTGGTTTATAAATTGCAGGGATAAAAATGAATAAAGCACTGTACATGTCCTTCCATTTCAAAAAGCAGCTTAGGCTGAAACAATATGGTCAAATGGAAAGGTAGAATATTAGTAATATTTATATATTTCTTCTGTTTTCTTTACCTGTCTTCAGGATTTTCATAATGCCTTGTGCAAAGGGCTCTTGTCTGCACCTATGTCTTCTGGGTCCTACTGCAACACAGATAAAGAAGCATTATAAAACTCTCATCTTGTATAAATATGAAAAAGTTCACCTTCATTAGATTGGAAGGTGCCTGCCCCTGGTAATCTATTTGAAAGTACTATTTCTGCTCTTTCCTCCACTGCTGTGAAGATGTCAGCCCTAGGGATGCAGCAACTGAACATATTTCTTGGCAC